ACAGGCTAATCTGCAAGTAACAGGGTTAGGGGTGAGGAAGGAGAGTCGGTCCTGGCATTGCTGCAGAGAACAGCCCCGAGCCACATAACTGAGGGAAAAGGAAACATTTACAACAATGAGCTCCAGGGGCAGGAGGCCAGGTCGGTGGTGGAGTTCAAGGCAATGCCCAGGGGAATGACTCCGTTTCCAGCTGGTGGTATTGGGATGATATTGGCATCCTGCTGTTTGGTGGCATCACCTTTGTGGCTCGCAGGTTGGTGAACGTTCTCATGGTAGTTGAGTGGACCAAACGTAACAAGACCATTTGTCTTTCGATGGCAGACTCCTATCTTCTTCATCTCTGCATCCCCACCCTTAGCACAGTGCCTGACACTTAGTGACTGCGTGAGTGCCATGAATGTCCAGAGCCTAATGGAAGAAATTTCATTAGTAAATGACCACATGTAAAAATGTTAGCATAAATTCCAGATGGGCGGAGGAATTGAAAGTGGAAAGACTGAGACTGAAGGATGAGAAGGAGCCAGCCAGGTGAAGAGGAAGGAGCATGCCAGGAGGAGGGAAGGCTTGTGAGAAAGCCCTGGGGCAGGAAAGGACTTGGCCTCTTCAGGAAACTGGGAGGACACCAGCCTGGCAGGAGCCCCGTGGGCCAGGAGCCAGAGACAAGGGCAGGGGCCGGACCTTCCAGGCTGTGGCCGACTGTGACCAGAAGGCTGGATTTTATAGGCAAAGGGTTCAAGAGAAACATCAGTAAAAAATGATAACTAACCAATAATAGTTCATCTTCACTGGTACACAGAGAACTCTACATTAAAACTGCTATCAGAGATCATTTTACTTGACAAATGGACAGAGTTGAATTTTTTAAAATATTAATAATACCAAACTTAGGCTAAGAGAAATAGAAATACACCCTTGTATAACACTGGGAAGTGTACATTGATAAAAACATGTCTGGAGGGGGTTTAGAAATATGTATCACGTGCCTTAAAAGCATTCACACCCTTTGGCCCAGGTAAATTTATTTTTAGTTTACCTTAAGGAATAAATGCATGTGTGGCTAAGGATTTAACTACAGCTATTTATTGCCACATAGTTTATAGATTTAAAAATTGGGGAAGAAACTTAGATGTCTAATAATAGGACATTGAGTTAACTGTATTTAATGATTGCAAAAAGCTAGTAAAATAGAATTATGTGGAAAGCTAAGGTATAAAACATTATGGACTATGATCTCAATTTTTTATATTGAAGTTACCTTTTGTGACACGTATCCATATGCCGTTTAAATATTTTCTATGGCAAACATATTTTGTAAGTTGTTGTTGTTATGTGCTGTCAAGTTGGACCCAACTCATAGTGACCCCTCCTTGCGTTTCCAAGGCAATATCATTACGGAAGTAGATTGCCCAACCTTCTTTCCGATTTTGTAAGTTATAAAACAGAATTCCAACAAGAACATGCAAATGTTTAACCTCTCAAGAAATGTAGGCAATCCAGCTTAACACAGAACGCTGTTTTTCAGCAATTAGATTACCTTATTTCTTAATTCAGATGATTTTGCATTTGCAGTTCAACCTTCACCTGACTGGAGACATCCATGCCATCACTGCAGCCAACAACTTGCTGGCAGCCGCAATCGACACGAGGATATTGCACGAAAATACTCAAACAGATAAGGTGAGAGAAAGAGTCCTTATTGCCATTTGGGGCTTCTTATCCTGGAGGTCCTGGATTCTTAAGAAGTTCACTGGCGGTCTTCTGTAGTCTGTAAACTAGACGGAATTTTATTCAAAACTTCATACTTACATATGTCTAAATTTCCTACTTTTAAACATGTTCTGATTCTTGGAGAGCAGATCCATCCTTTGGTCAGATTCTCAAAAGGGTTTAAGTCCATTGCCAAGTTTTTGGGAGAGTTAGTAGGTTAGTTGTAGTTTTTCGTTAAATAGGCTTTGAGGTGAGCATTTCCTCTTGCAGGTGTTGGGGTAGACCAGTTCTCTTTGTTCTGGTCATTGGCTCAATCTCTTGTCTGTACTAAAGGGAAAGGACAGAGGGATCTCTGTAAGAGACTCGTGGTGCCTGCGGCTGTTCTGGGTGGTGAGCTGTTAAGAAGCCAGGCCTCTCTGTTGGGCTTCCGGTGCCTTTGGTCCAAAGGGTAAATGTAACACACCTAAAGTGGACAGAGTACCAGGTGCTAATTCCTCATAGATGCAGAACATGGATTAACATGGTATCTCTGGCACTTGGCACGAGAGTCCTGACTCTCTCCAGTTAAAGTAATTGCCTGGTGAGTTTTTTGAAGCAGAATTCAGATCAGTGTTAATGTGATGGCAATATAGCTGTAGATCAAGAAATATAGTTATGCAGACTCTTTACA